TGGTATAGATGCAAATTTTTTTTCCAAAATATTTTCAACCTCCAATTGATTGAATCCACATATGCAGAACTCTGGATATAGAGGACCAACTGTATATTGTAAAATCCTTATATCTTACATGAAGCAATATGTTATGTGAAGGTAATGACACCTCATGTGAAAGTGGACTGTGATTAAAGATTTGTACTGTTCTAAACCCTAGAGCAGTAACTTCAGAAATAAGATGCATATTTTGCCAACAGAAGAAATAAAATGGAATTCAAAATATACCCAATCAAAAAGAAAGAATGAGATTAGGAACAAAAATCAGATGCAATGGATACCTCACAAAATAGAGCTTATATATATACATAAAGCTAAAACTAAATCTTGTAGAAGAAATGTAGTGTATTCACAAATTGGGAGCAAGTAAAAATTTCTTAGGACACCAAAATATGGAAGATAATAGGAAAAAGATTATGAATTGGCCCTCAGAAACATTAAAAACGTTTATCAAAAAAGTCATTTAAGGTGCTAGGGTTACAGCTAAGTGATAGAGCACTTGCCTAGCATGTGTGAAGCACTGGGTTCAATCATGAGCACTATGTAAAAATAAATAAATAAAATAAAGGTACTGTGTCCAGCTATAACAAAGAAGTCATTTAAGAAATAAATCCGGACTGGTAGAAAATATTTGCAATTACTGTCCTAGGACTTGTATCCATGGTTTTATAAGTAACTCTTACAACAAGATGATAAATAACTCACTTTTAAAATGGCCAAAATATTTTAATGCACTTTACAATTGATGCACTAATAAGCATAAAAAAGTTCTTATCAGAGAAGTGCAAATTAATACTACAAGTAATACCCTTTGCCTACTAGAATAGCAAAAAAATTTTTAAATCACCACAGAGATGCAACAACAGGAATACAGCCAAACATTGCTTTAGGGAATATAAAATAATATGATTTTGAAAAAGTTTCATAGTTTCTTTTAAGGTAAAACTTATATATGCTAATAACCCAGAAATTATACCCCTATTTACTGAAAATAGACTTGTATGTGCATGTTCATAGGGCTTTATTTATAACAACCCCCAATTACAAACAACCCAAACAACCACCAACAGCATTGCAGTTTGCAGTGCAGTACTATTCAGCTGTAAAAAAGAGCCAATGACAGACACATTCGGACTGGATTAATCATAAAATCTTGCCGGGTGAAAGAAGCCTGACACAAAATATATACTTTGCAAGTCCATTTAATGGAATTCAGAAACATGCAAACTAGTCTCTAGTATCAAAGAAGTCTAGTTGTCTGAGCCTGGGTGTGGAGTTGGGAAGCTAATTACAAAGGAACAGAAGGAAACATTTTGATATAATAGAAATATTCCGTATCTTCTTCCCAATGAGGTGGTAGTTACCAGGGTGTGTACATATTGTATTCAAATTTAAAATGGGGTGCATTTTACTGTATATAAAAGTGTACTTGTGTGAAATTGACTCTTAAAGTGAAAGCATACACTCTTCTCCCTAGTGCCCAAAAGTTATATATTTCAAAAGTAGGATGATTTCAAACATGATGAATTTGCTACAGTAGACCATAATTGAAAAATCAGCGAAAGTGACTACTTTGATTTTTAAAGTTCTGCATTTGGTTGTTTTCCTATTTAAAGAGAAGTTTTTTTATGTGATTTTTTTTTTACTTTTTACTTTTAAATTTTAATTTGCTATATATGACAGCAGAATGCATTATAATTCATATTGCACATATAGAGCACAATTTTTCATATCTCTGGTTGTACACAAAGTAGAGTCACACCATTTGTGAGTATAAAATCATGACATTTGCAGGTAAATGGATGGATGGAGAATATAATGCTAAGTAAAGTTAGCCAGTCTCCGCAAAATGCAATCTCTTTTATCAAAACCAATCGAAATAGTGAAAATAAATGGAGTTGGAGAATATAATGCTAAGTGAGTTAGCCAGTCCTAAAAAACCAAATACCAAATGTTTTCTCTGATTTAAAGATCATGCTTCATAATGTGGTTAGGGTGGGGGTATGGGAGAATTAGATGAACTCTAGATAGGGCAAAGGGGAGGGAGGAATGGGGAGGTGGTATGGGGGTAGTAAAGAGAAATTCTTGTTAGATGAAAGGTAATATCAGTGATCAGGTTGTTTTCTTGTTCTTGGTTTGTGTACTTAACATGAAGTGTTAAGTCCATGAGATGTATCATTCCTTTACTATAAATGGAGGCATGGTGTTGTAGTACCATGTATGAGCTTCAGAGGAGCAGATATATCATGTCACATATTTGAACCTATTTCTTCTATAAAACATCAGTAACAGCATTTCACAGGCTGTTTTAAGGATCCAATAAAATTAACTAAAAAATCCACATGTGGATGCTGATTTTACTCCTCCTCCCCTTGGTACCAACCCTGGCAATTAAGGACTAGATATAGAGAGCGTGGGTCACTTTCCTCCCCAAGGTTCCTGGTGATAAGTTCTGGGCTTCTTTCAGAAGATTCCTGTATAATTAATCTTACTGAGATACTTCAGTATTTTATTTCAATAATTTAAAAGAAACTTACCATAACTATCACAAAAGTAATCTTGGGTTTTATGCATGATAGGCAAGTGCTTTACTACTGAGCTACATTCCAGCCCCTTACATCAACAGAAATTTAAAATATTCTAAACCATGTACAACGCGTCTGTCAGGATACATTCCAAAAGGATATTTAAATATAAAAAATGAACCATGAAAATCTTTCTAACTATGATTCAAAATCCAGAAGTCATAAAAGCAAAGATTAATAAGACAAATGACAAACTGGGAATAAGTATTTGTCATTTTTATCTCAAAGGGCTAATCTTCATAATATTTTAAGAGCTCCTTTGAAAGGAGGAAAGAGATCATCAACCCAGTAGACAGAGGGCAGAAGACATGCAAAGAGAGATCATAGAAAAGGAATTCTATATATGGCTTTTAAACACATGAAGAGATTCAGCATCATTCATAATAAGACAAAAGCAAATGAAGACACAAAGGTACCATATTTTACAATCTGGCTGGCAAAAATTTAATAATTTTTGGTATTATGAAAGTAATGGTAATGAAAGTAATACTCAAAATAATTAAAATCATGACATTACTACCTACTGACTTAATTTCTCATAAAATAGTGAAGACTTAGACAAAAACCAAGCAAGTAAAAAGATCATAATCCATGGCCTCAAGCAAGGCTGACTACATGATTTATACCCTAAATAATCAGAGAATTTTGTATAGGCAGATAAGTTTGGGGAAAACTTCAGGGAGAGATCAATGTATAAACCATGGATCCTGGTTTATGGTCAGAGGGATAGAAATCTCCTTAAATTTTTGGCATGTTGCCTTATTAGTATGTGGAATGTTTTTGTTTTGCTTATAATAGTGCCCCTTATTTATTCATACCTATCACATATTTTTTAAACTCAGGAACAAGCATTTTGAGCAATTATGGAAATTTAAACACAAAAAAATCCTCACTTTATGTCTTTTCCCAATTTAATACTTGAGAATGTTGGTTATGTATGGCTTTTCCAACTTCACTATTTTGTTTTCATTTTATACTCATTTTTCTTCTTAATGTTAATGTTTCTCTGTACTTGTCTATTTTATTGAATTGGTAGGAACTAACCTTGCTTATTGGCCCTAGGATTTGTAACTAGTTTCATTAATAAAAAAGTGATCTTAGACTCTGATTTTTTTTTATCATTTTGATGTATATATTTCCAATCTGGCTTTTGTACACATAGATACACTTGGGTTTTCTCTGATATTCTTTTAGTAAACATATCCACTTTTACAAAATAGATTTAACATTTTAGTGCTAAATGTGAAGTGCTGCATGCAAATTATTAAAGGTTTCTGGGCAAATACTCATATCTGATACATGCCATTTCAGAATCAGAATCTCTTAAAAGTAAAATTAAAATTTCATGCTTGCGTAATTTTTTTTCAAAAATATGATTCATCATTCTAAAAAATGCAGTCTCTTTTATCAAAACCAATTGAAATAGTGAAAATAAATTCCTTCCCAATAGATCATTTTCTGGTGAATGATTAAACTTTCTTGGGTAACAAAAACTATAAAATAACAGCTTGGCAAAGGCAATTTTAAAGACTGTTTCTAGAGAGTAATTTTTTAAGTTTAAATTGAACAGATAATAGTAAATGGTAGGCAAATATCTCATTGTAGAAGGCATTTTTTAAAGTAATGTATTTTGTTCTAACTATATTGATCATCATTGAATAAAAATTCAAACTTATTTAATACCAGTTAATACCCAGAACATATGAGAGAGTTTTTTCATTTAGTAGAAGGTCACCATCATTCATTTTACAACTGATGATTTTATAATAGGTCCTTCTGGTTCTTGATGGTCATTATCAAAGTATAATGCATTGAAGATATGGCCTGTACAAAAGCAGAACAGGGATCTTAATTAGAATTCTGACAAGCCCACTCCAATAAAATGATGAGATTATTTGTAATTGATGTCACAATCAATTACCATTTAGTTCATCATGAGCATTCTAATAGGTCTGGCCTTGGTATTGGCCCCAGGATGTTGCTGAGTGAGTGGCTGCCCTGCTTATGCTGTTATTGAGACAGGAGGGCACATTTTCAGTCAGTATCCTAATGACCTCTTTTGAAGTCTATTAAATTAATGACCCTGTCACAGTTTTGATCTCTTGTAACCTCAGTTTGGGGTTTGTATAACAAATTACTGTTTGAGAACAGTATGATTATAAAAAAGACAGGTCTTTTAAAAAACTGGAACATTTGGTATTTATTTTATTGTGTAGGAAATAGAAGCAAAAATGCAACTTAGGATTTGTATGTATTTTAAAAGAAACTTTAGGATATTTCTCCCTATTCCAAGTGACATACTTCTTAATGATAGTACCTGAATTAGATTTTATTGTTTCTCAAGGGGCTGCTGCTCTTATTCTGTCATTCTAGGTGCCAACAGGTCATGTTTGGTTAGAAGGTGATAATTTACAGAATTCTACAGATTCCAGGTATTATGGACCTATTCCATATGGACTTATAAGAGGACGAATCTTCTTTAAGGTACAGTTTTGTGCTTAAAATGTTTACTGTATTCTCTAAACTGTATTCTCTGCATTTCCCCAAAATGAACCTTTGAAATCTTCAAGATGTCAGTGGATTTAACTGTTGCGGTAACTACATTTTATAACACGTTGGCTTTTACTTAGTACCACTATATGAAACATTCTCATCTCCCCTTGCTTAGTCTCACAAAATAGGTATTAAGAATGATTTTTCAATAATAATAAAATCAAAACTCACTGATGTAGCAAAAGAACCCTTTCATTTGAATTCTCTCTTATACATTCTGGGCATATTTTAATAAGCATTTGCGGGAGAGCAGTCTAGGTTCACAATACCTTGCTTTTTAGGTATTGTGAAATACAGTTACACTACTTAAATACAGTGAATCATGGACAGTTTATTGTGGTTGAAGCAAATATACAACTCGTAGGGAAGATTATTTTTTTTTTATTTTTCTGGATCCTTTTAATCATAAGCAATAATAAGAAAATAATAAGAAAAACACATGAGTATCTGGGGCAACTGGATAATTCCCATAATTCTTTACAATTATTATATTCAAGTACATAAAACTTAAAAACTTTAGGTTCAAGATGTAACAGACATATATATTCATAAATACACACAGAGAATTTTTTGTATATTTGAATGTTCCAAACTCAACATTTAAATACATACAAGTGATTTTCTAAGTCTTACCCTTTTTTAAAATTTTTCTTAATTTTGTAATTTGTTCTAATTCGTTATACAGTCTTATTCTGATGCAGAAATTTTATTCTTGACTGATAAGTAAGGATAAGCATTTAACTATTTAGCATAGAGAAAATGGATGAAAAGGAGAAGGGAATAATGATTATATAACATCACTTTTACTAATTTTCTTCAATCACATTTTGATTTTACAGATCTGGCCTCTGAGTGATTTTGGATTTCTACGAGACAGCCCAAATGGCCACAGATTTTCTGATAATTAGCAAGCATTTATTCTTTTGACTTGATTATTGTTTCCTGTTCAAGTGAATTTATTACTGCAGTTGAAACCATGTACTTAACCAATAAACTATTTGCTGTTCAGTTTTAGTTATTTGTTAAATGTAAAGAAAAGCAATCCATTCTGCAAACTCTTGTTCAAAGTATTTGTGTAAAAATAAGTATAACCCAAGATCAGTGTTTCATCTAAATTTTATGTTATATATAAAATATTTGCAGGGGGACCTGAATGACTATACCTCACTTGCAAATTTTTTGTCTTATATAAGTAAACTGAAAATAATCTACTCTTCTTGAAAGTGCCTTATACTTCAGCTATAGTAAGTAAGTCAGAATAGTAACTATTCTTATTTATAAGTTCAATCTGCAACATCAGGAGTTCATTCTAAGTAAAAAGCTTCTAAGTTATATGCTTGACTCACTCCTTTGAAGTTAAGTAAAAAAGTTTCAGTGATCCCATAAGAGATTCTGTCAAGTTCTTTAAATGAGTTCTGATTTAGACTGTACAAGAATATTAAATGTATAGAAAAATACATCTTTAAGAATATGACATTTACAGGCTATTGTAGGCAATAATACTTTATAAAGTCCATCATACCAGCAATAAAATGGTTCTTATTCACAAATATGGCAATTAACACCAAACCTTAACACCTTGAAATAAAAAGGAAAGGGATGTACCAATTTCAGACTATTTTTTAAAGCTTCCATATTCTAAATTATACTTAAAAGTTGAAGACGGTGAGGTTCATAAATTTCAGAACTAGAAGGCCAGGACTGGAGCCAAGTCTTAATTCCAAATCTATTTTTCTAGTTGTCACTTCACATTTTTTATTCTTCGTATTCAGCCTTCATTATGGGAGAACTGGGATCACATATTGTTCACAGAGATTCTAATTTAATTATAATGACACTAGAATTTGAGGTAGGTATAAAATAGGCCTATAACTGTAACCTGTTGGGAACATTATCAGTTAGACACTTTATAAATATAAAGGAATATGATGATAACATTTCCCAATAAGAGACATATTTATGTTAAGAAAAAGAATTCTTATGTTTTATCAAGGAGAAAACAAAGGTTTTAAGATGGGAATCCATAAAATATAACTCAAGTCCTTTTTATGGCAATGTAAATGTAGTTTATAAGTACATATAAATAACTACATTAATCTTTTTAAATGTAGGTGATCTCTGCTTGATAATCTTATCATTTCTTTGCAAATAATAGGGAAGAAAAAAAATCCATTTCCTTAATGCTCGAATGGCCTCTCATCATCATGTCTGAATATACACTTGAAGTATTCCAATAGTAGTCAACAATTTTAGCTATAATGAAGTAGTTCTATAATTAGTGAACATGTATCACAAGAAATCAGGTTAACTTCTTCTGCTTCATCTTTGGAAACACTGTATTTTCCACCACATCGGCAACTCAGAAAAAAAGAATGATCATCTGTGAAGAAAAAAAAAAAAAACTTCAAATGCTTACAAGCAACTACTTTTCTTATAACTTTTAAAAATGCAGAGTTTATTCCATAGAAATCGCAAAACAAACAAACAAAAACCCTCAATAATGATAAAATGTATTTAAAGGAGAATTGGAAAACATTTCTTGCAAGGAACAGTGTTTCTAAAAATTACCAAAGCATCTATCTGTAGATGAGAGAAGTATTAAAGCTATGAATCAACAGTCCAATGATTTTGGGGGAGGGGGATGCTTAGAAGCAACTTGTGAAATGTTTTATTAAGAATCATAAAAATTTTATATTCTCTAAAATATATTTTCTAAAATATTACACTGAAAGAGAAAGGAGCATGATATTTTGTCTAGAGTCTATCCTTTTAGAAATGACTGATACATCCTTTCTGGTACCACATGATTTCAATATATATAAACACCATAGTTTTTTGCAGTTTCCCCCACCCGATTATGGGGAATGTATGTGTACCTGATTGTTTGGTGTTTACAAATGATATATGAACCAACAGGAAACTGTCTGAAGTGAGATGCCCTAAGGAGGCAATGGTTTCCTCATAATGGTAGAAATTTTAAGTATGTCCTCTCTCTGGAAAGTTTAATTACTAGTGTCCTTGGACTGAAAGAATTTCTGATTCCTCTGGTCTTCCATTTTTATTATCTCTGGGAAGTAACTATCAAAGAAAAACAACGTATTAATCACAGTATCTATTTTACCAATATCATAATTTTTTATTAGAGACAAAGGAGTTCTCAAAGGATTCATGATTTCCTATGATCAAATATTGTCATTCAGTTTTCAAACTTGATTAATATTTATAACTCATGGAGTATGAAAAAAAGAGAAATTAAACTGAATGTATTTGCTCTATATCAAATCCAATCTTTAAAAAATTAGCAATAAGGGGCTGGTGTTATGGCTTAGTGGTAGAATGCTACCCTAGTACATGTGAAGCTTATAAATAAGCTGAGGTTCAATCCTCAGCACCACATAAAAATAAAATAAAGGTATTGTGTCCATATGTAACTAAAAAAAAATTGAAAAAAAATGAGCAATAAGCCAACTTATATGCTTATCAGTAAGAAAAACATGAATATACTATCAATCCTGTTTTTTATTCTTCCCCACAATGCCTTTCTTCTCCACAAAGACTAATTTAATTTTGATTTCAGAAATTCGTCTTCCCTATCTAAGCAATATACAAATATACATGTACTACAGCATGTTTTCAAAGTGAATGGTTTTGTTGTTAAAATATCTAAAAATATACGTATTCCAACCATTCATTGATTTTAAGCTAAATCTCCCCCTCTTTTGTTTTTTTACCACCTCAGTGAACACTAAGAGACAATCTGAGGTGACACGTGCTTGGTAAATGACACAGAGGACAGCATGAGCTACTGTGGAGTTTTGTCATAGATATTTCCAAATGTTAGTGCTCACTAAAAATTAAGTTTATTGAAATTTCTTACTACCATCAAGTTCTGAAACAAGGTGCTATTTTCAAAGAAATCATAATTTTAAATATAGTGAATGAAGATCAACAATATGATCAAGTTACACTAGACTAATTTGTAAGGGGAAGGTTAGCGTCAATCTCTCAAATGTTCCAGGAATATATGCCTTTTAAACATAAGAAAATGCACTACTTCATACTGTTCTTTGATCCAGCAGCAGATACTTTGGCTATACCCATCATGTAGGGTTTCATCAGCTTTTCTCCATTTCTGGATCTTTTCCTTCCAAGGCCATTCTGAAAACAATCCTGAAGGAATCTAAAAAATTTTTTACTTGCCCAAATGATCACAGTTTTTATTTAACTTAATATGCTAAGACAACTCTTATTCATTTTTAAATAGTCCTGCAAGAATAATGGCTTCATGCAGCTGTTGTTCAGTATTTCCTCTCAGGAGGACAAGGATTATCTCCAGCTTTACAAAGATAAAAATTCTTAAATAAGCAAAGCTGTTCTATATATTTAAGATTTAATTATATCTGTTTAATACTGATTCACTGGCTGTGGATGGGATTCATCCCTGTCTTCTTTACAATGGTTTACTTTGGAGAGTTCCAGGGACAATAACATTTCTGATAAGCCTTGATGATTTCATTTTCTTCAATATCCGGGTAGATTCATTTGTATGAAAAAGTCCATGTAGTAAAAAAAATTATACTAAACAAAGGTACTTGAATCACCAATCTAAATTTTTAATTTAAAATTAAATTGTACTATTAACAAATATTTCAAAGGTAAATAAAAGAAGAAAAACTATAACAAGCTTGCTTTATTTTTGCATCATTAGGAATCATTAGTAAATAAAGTATATTAGACTTATCAATGAAAACAAGAATTAATTTGTTTAATAATAGATTAAACAGATACATATATGCTGATGGATAGGAGGCAAATTATATCTTAAAAAAATATATTTACAGCAGTTTGGGAGGCTGAGGGAGGAGGATTGTGAGTTCAAAGCCAGCCTCAGCAATGGTGAAGCACTAAGGAACTCAGTGAGACCCTGTCTCTAAATAAAATACAAAATAGGGCTGGGGATGGGGCTCAGGGGTCGAGTGGCCCTGAGTTCACTCCCTGGTACAAACAACAACAAAAAATACACATTTATTTGAGCAGGTCTCCCTAATAAAGACATGTTCTAGTTTGTCCTTCCATAAAATGGCAATGAAAAGCCTGTCACTGTTGTATTATTTTCACAGCGGTAGCCCTTCCTGTTTATTCTAACTAGACTACTGCTAATATTTGGGAACCTCAATTACAAAAAATCTGAAGCTTTCAATTATTTACTGAAAATTAGAATTTTGAATCTGTAATTTAATTTTAGTGGTTGAGTGCAGAATGGTCAAATAGGTAAAAACATGACTACCCTTCTAAGCCAATATGGCTTGTGACCCATTTCTTTAGAGCATAAATAAAGAATCTGCCATTGGAAAAGGATGGCTCTGCTTACCTTTTACCATTCACACTCATTAGAACATTTTTAGAATCCTTTAGGTAATTTGCACCCCAAGCTGAATAATAGTTATAGGTTAAGAATATACAAAATTCTAGTAAACTATAAGATTTTCTTCAATTGCCCAGAGAAATATCAAAGTATGATACTCATGGATTATGTCTGGAAAGGGTTTTCATAATGTAATGATGTCTACCCAGAGTTTTTCAGGGAACATCAAAAGAATGCAGAAATTAAAATTTTAATGATACAAAAGGGGAAAAGACATGAACTCATGATAGGTCAAGGACAGTGACTGATTTTTCTTATTAAGAGACAATCAAAAATTTATGGTGGGGACAGGAAAAGCCTCCATGGAAAGCCCTCTCCTGAGAGTTTAGGATTCCATATAGGGAGAAAATGAACAAAAATTCTAATAGAAATTCATCTCAATTGCCACCATAAAGAGAAATAGAAAAAAATCACCCCCTTTGACTTTAATAAAGTCCTTATTACAGAGAGTAATACAAAAATCAAAGTAGTACAAAACAAATGGAAAATAAACCCTTATGTACCTAACATCTAATTAAAGTAGAAAAATAACATCAATAAGTGAAGTTTAGAATTAAACAAAAACAGGCCAAACAAATCACAAATACAT